CTGTGATCTGCCTTGGCGATTTCTCTTCCAACGTGCCATGGCCCACTTCAAGTCCTGGGCTTCCTAGACACTTTCTCCAACAAATTTAGTCAATATGTTTCACCTCCTTCCAATAACCCGTAACAAGTAACTCAACTTTTTATGGCGTGTGATTAGACCAATTTAACAACTGCATATCAGTAAGCATTGCTGTTTTCATTATGATGACTAGTTGCTTCAATGTGTAGTCACAGGAGTCCAAAAAGATATTTAGTCCTATGCTATCCAAATAGCACAGTGTTAGACACAAAGAAATCCAATGAATACATTTTGAATTAATACAAAACAACCGTCATATAATTCTTCTTATATGGGAGTTAAACTCTATACTTGACTTAGGTAGAGTTCTGAGTGGGCACGTGGTCAAGAAGAGGAGCGGGCATGCCCTGGTGGCGCAGCGGTTAAGTGCCCACGTTCCGCTTCAGTGGCCCGGGGTTCGCTGGTTTGGATCCCGGGTGCGGACATGGCAGCACTTGGCAAGCCATGCTGTGGTAGGCGTCCCACATATAAAGTAGAGGAAGATGGGCACAGATGTTAGCTCAGGGCCAGTCTTCCTCAGCAAAAAGAGGAGGATTGGCAGCAGTTAGCTCAGGGCTAATCTTCCTCAAAAAGAAAAAGAAGAGGAGGATTATATCGTCATCTTGGGAGAAGCTCTTTATATTCTGGATGACTGTTACTAGAAATCACTCCACAGCCTTCTCAGCTGCCATGCAACTCCCATCAATTTCCCTACATGCAGAATTATGCCCAACTGAAACCACGAAACGAAGTGATTCTTCTCCAATTTCTCCATGTTTCTCCTGAATTGGGAAGCCTAGAACTTGAGTCAGGACTTTGGCAATTTGGCATTATTTGGGAATTCAGGCCCACACTTTTCCATTCCAGAATCACAGTTAGTTGAAAACCACATGTGGTACCTGGCTGGTTCGTGGCACCTGGTTACACTAAACTTCAGGGGGCTTGTTGCTGACAACTTCTCCAGAACAAATGTCCACAAAGGTTTTTCTAAATTCTCAGGAAACTCTTCTCTTCACTCAAGGTTTGAACACTTGAGAACAACTGAACACACTTTCTATGACATCAAGTCACTCTTATAATCCATTTTAATAGAGAGTTGGTATCAACTCTGATAGAATTCCTTTCATTATGATCTGTTAAGGGAAAAAGTGATAAATAGTCGGTCCTGAATAGAACTTTCCCAACAGTTAGACAAGTTTCGATAGCTGCATAATTAGATCATTTAAAAATTTTTGCCTATCAGTATATAATATGAATATATAATACAGGTCAAAAAAAGTGTTGTCCATTTAAAAAAGTGTCAGTACAGTGCCACAGCACTTATTTTGCTTTTTCAGATCAAAGTTGAAAAATGTACTCAAGATGCTGCCTTTACCAGCTCTTTGGATGGGAATGACATGGTTGGTCCATGTGTGAATACTAGAGAAGAGCTGAGGCGATGAGAGGCCTTGTGAGTGACTTACCAAGACAGGCACACAAGCACCAAGGTTTCACACCTCCACCTCCTCAAGCTAATGGGGTAAAAGACAAAGATTTGGCTATTATACCTCATTGGGGATTTATTAAGGATCAACTTCCTCCATAAACCAGGCTTATCTCTGTTTAGGTTGCCCCGATAAGACTTCCTTTCTCTCCAAATTCAGACTAGCTCCACGAACATATCCTTTCTGAAGCATCTGAAAATGATTCTTAGTTTTTCTCTAATGTTACTATTACTTTCACTAGAAAGAGAAATAAATCTTAAATGCTTTTTTCTTTTTTAAGCATGATCGTGAGGGGGAAATACTGAATGCTGACTATATGCCAGCTCTATGCTGTTATCTCATTAATGTCTTTTTGAAAACCTTATGAGGTAGGTATTATTTCCATTTCTAGTTGAGTAAACAGGGACACAGGCTGGCTAAGTCATTTTCTTAAGGCCACACAGTTAGCAGAGTGCCATCCAAACAACCCAAGCTAGGCCCACAGCCCGTGCCAACTCCTCTGAGTTGTATCAGACCAGTTTCATTTCCCCATCTTCAAGTATTTCGCAGAATTCCACAAGTTGTGAAAAATAGCTAGTTAAACTGAAATGTCTTTTGGTTTATTAGTTTATTCTTCTTCAATATATGCCAGTGAATGCTGAAACTATCCAGTATATTTATTTGTTCCATACACATGCTATATGATTTGTCTGTTTGTTTTATACTTCGCCGAGCTTTTCTCTTTGGAACAAACGAATGACTTTTTTAAAACAATAAAAATACTTTTGCCATTTCAGGATGATCTATCATTTGCTTTTGTTGTGGATCAAAAAGAATGGCATGTTCTTTAGCTCCTCTTTCCTCCAAGGTAAGAGGAGATACCATGTTGTTTTCTAGTCCGGTTTCTCTATTATTAGAGAATATGCCTCCATTTGGTTTTACGTCATCTAGAAATCATGCTTTCGTCATCTAGAAATCATCCCTTTCCTGATCTTGATGTACTAATCCTCTGCTGCAAAAGGACAGCCAAGGTTTGGGGAAACGCACACTGGACCATCAATTTAATCAACTCAGTGGCTATCAGAGAAGCATTTTCACTTAACCTGATGGTAGTTTCAACTTAAATAATGCTTTACTTGAAAAGAACAGAGTTTTGGTTGTCAAATAAGACCAGCGAGCGCCACCAGGATGTACCGCAGAGTGACTGACCGAGAATTTATAAAATATGTGAGAGTTCCGTGTTGCAAAGGCAGAGGCTGTGTTTCAGGCTCGGTGTAGCACCTAGCACTACGGAGAATATCAACGTTTGAGGTCAATCAGTTCCTGTCACTGAAGGAAGAGCAGCGTGAATACTTCCTAAAGTGAACGGCAATGCAGTACGATACTCTCTTCCCCTCGCAATCACGGTGAGGATTCTTTCTCAAACTTCGGGCAGGTGCAAGGCTGAGTGTAATAAATCCGAAGGCATTACAACTTCTTCTTCTGTTAAGGATGGCAAGACCTCCCCTCAGTTATGCAACATCAGCAAAAACAGGGGCCAAAACAACTGCGCATCACACTGGGAGCCAGTGAGGGACACAGAAGTGAGAGCAGGTGCTCGGCTGCCTGGTGAATGGCCCATTTAAAAATTCAACAATAGTCAGAGGGGAGCAGGGAGCTCAAGAGCCACCACTGAGATTGGTGAAACCAGCATTTCTAAATTCAGTGTAAACTCACACCCTGAAAGAAGGCACGCTATAAAACAGAGTTCCAGAAATCTAGTGCATCATTCACCCTCCACAATATTATGTAAAAAGCATTCTCTTCAGGAAAAATCATGGAAAGAACCACTCACGCAACAAAACTGGTGCTTCCTCAATTTCAAATGTCCCTATAAGATATTAATTATTAGCTGGATAAAACAGGCAAAAGCAGCTGTTCATTGCAGAACCAACTAATCATCTCTCATAACTCTTTTGAAAAGCAAATGTAGATGTCAGAGCTCGAGTGAAAAACATGTTAAATGCATTGTGTCTAGACTTTGCCAAGAAAACGAGGGGGTTTAAGTGCACAAAATCAGAAGTTCTTACTAAACCAGAATTTCAAATCAATGTAAAAAAATTCAGCTTCATATTTTAACGTATCTTGTCATTAGCATTTTATATTTATACAATCAGCTTTAGGGTGAATGTTGCTGTATATTCAAGATGTACATGCATCCTACATGGTGAGTAACACCAACATAGTAAAATGATAAAAATAAAAAATGCTTGTCAGGCATCCCTTCCCTTAAAATGCTGCATATTCCTGTAACTGTAATATACACAGACGATTAGAAAGCAGATCAAACACACAAGGATATCTCCACTACACCAGCAGAAAACCTTAAAAATGGGTGAATCAAGGCAGCAGAAAACGAAGCATAGGTGATTATCAGGCACCAGGAGACAAGAGATGCAGCAAAACATAGAGCAGGAAAATATGAGGGGAAAAATCCAGGACTGTCTGTATAATATATGCAGATTTTTTTCAAATGTAAATTTTAAAGTGAATGCTGCTTTTATGTTCCTGCATAAAGGAAAGCATAACAAGGCTGCTCCACTTCCCTTTAAACACAAGCACATAAAGAGAGTAAGGGATGTGAAAAGCCAATTCTTTGTGCTGCTACTTAATCAATTGCACTCAGTTCTCCTCCTCGATGACACAGCCACAGTGCAGAGAGCACTCAGCAGTTAATGGATATAATGTTGGAAAAGCACTTTGAGGTCTTCCAAGGAAAGGCAGGGTAAAAACCCAAAGGAGCGTGGTTTTACTACTTATTCCCAATAACTGAGCAGCATTATCTAGGAAACTCCCAAGACCTGAAAAGAAATTAAGATATTAATTTATTTTGCTAATTCTGATTCTTCCACGTGAGATGACTTCTTTCAAAAGTTGGAACTTGAAATCATCATAGGATTATCCTGAGCGCTAGTCTGGTCTTGTAGGATAACCAGTGCACACAGTAAGGAATAAATATGTTCTTCAAGTGTGACAGCCTACGTTTACAATCTGTCAAAAGGCAGAGCTGAGGAGGAGTTATGTGTTTTTAACTGTATACATCCATCACTAGCTATCACTCTTCCCACAGGCAGCAAAAAGTCAACAATGAAACATAAAAGCTAAAAATAAGTGAGCGAGCAATTGCTCAGAAGAGCCTTTTTTATTACTGCTTATTTAAAGTAATTGAAATAAAGGGCTCAGATCTACGAAAAAGAAAAATAATCATGCCCTGCACAAATATGTAAAAGTCCGTTGCAAGTAAAAGTTCATGCCCATAACCACACAAGATCAGCACTCTGAATGGCACAGGGCCAGAATGCAAGTAGTGACTAATATAAATTGCTAGAAATGCCATGAAAAATGACAATTATAGGCACTTCAAATGCTCAAAGAAAAATTTAGTGTCATTCCATACAAGCTAAGAATATTTCTTCATTCACAGGTATTATAACATGTTCATTTCTAAGTCAAATCAACATTTATTAAAGACCCATTGTGTACAATTTGCTATGCTAATGATGGAAAATATTGCATAAAAACAGTATGGTTTACATGCAAGCATACATTCAAATACATGTATGAGTATATATTACTGAATATAGAAAAACTATAATCTACAAGGAGAACTCTAGATTCAGAAAAATCAGTAAGTTCATGAATTAAATAGGTTTTTTGGTTTTCTTCTCATTCTGTAGGAATTTATTAGGTGAGAAAAACAGCATAAAAATCTTGCAAGTTGCAAATTTGAAATCTTACATACTCAAAAGGAGGAAAGTTGTCTTTCAACAGTCGTTTTTGAACTTTTTTAGATTCAAAATGATTCATCTAACCAAATCTCATATGAAACTACATTATATATGTGAGATAAAAAGAGGTATTTAATTAATACAGATTTGTTCTATAAGTGCAAGTTTATAACACTTATTTGTTAGGTAAATAAATTAGGGTGGTGGTTTTTTTTTTCACTAAGGGAAAAATGTGAAATAGTGGATTATGGATGGCAGTTACATTCTTCTACGAGCCTCGGTGTCTGATTCATTTCTGTGTTTTGGGGGTTTTGCAGTGTATTAAGAAAATTCTGATTCATACACATACGTGCTTGCAAATAGTAACATTTAACAGCTCCCTAGCAATCGCAGGTTACTCTTCAAGCAAACAGAGACGGCAGGAGAAGCTTCATTCCACAGCCTGAACCAAAACTCAGTAACCTATTAACACAAACTAACTCCTCATCACTGCTCACAACTAAGTTAACATTTTCCATACAGTTGACTGTTTTTGTAGAATTTTAAAAAATTATAATACTTATATCCAAATCAAACCCAAAGATCCCCCCACTCCCAGAATGTCCTAAAGGTTAGTAGAATCCAATCTCTATTTGAAAACCTGTCTCTAAAAAGCCTGCCAGCATGCGCTGAGTTGGTATCAATAGTCAAAACACGGGTCAGCAGGGCGGATGTAGCACACAAATGCCTATTGGCAAACCTAGGATTCGAGCAAGGTGTGCCATCTACAGACCTGCTGACCTTTGGTCTCCTTCATTTCCTCCCAATGGTCTTGTTCCTCCTCTCCACTACTGTTTTGGCCCAGAGCAATCCAACCGATCATCTCTTTACGCTTCATAGTACGCCTGTTATAAATGGAAATCATCAACGTGACATCAGAGAGCTGAAAGAGGGCCACCTGGAAAACAAAGGTCTCCTTATAGACAGGACTGGGCTGACCACGTCGAATGGAGGTCTTGCAGCGGGACATCTCTTGACCCACAGAATTGAGGAGAAAGAGCTTTCCATATGTATCTAAGAAAAAATAACAGAAATGAGAAAACATCAGTGCCTTTTGTTCTGCTGATTTAGTTGTAATATTTACATGGGCTGCAAATTTTTCCTTTTTAACATACTGAGCAGCATCCTTATGCCTGGTACTTGCTGCAGGACTAACACATCTTACAGGAATAATTAAGGAAAGGAATTTTACCTTGAATGCTTAATGTTTCATGCAGCCCACTCTCGGACACCTTGCTAATGTTTATTAGAAGCTCTCCATCTGCAGGGGTATATAGGTGCGTAGGCATATGTGCCATGGTGTTTGCGGACACGCACAGCTCTTCATCTACAGTTTATTTATATAACAAGATAAATATATACATTTATTAACATTTAACAGCTCCCTAGCTGTTTTTTTTTCCCTCTTCCTAGTCAAAATACTGTTCATGCCTGGGTTAGTCTCTTCTCTTCTCACTCTCTACATATTCTTTGGATCATCCCATCTATCTACTGTCAACTGAATCAAATACGTATCTCTGGCCTGGTCTTCTCTCCCAAGCTCAAGACCCAACTGCACACCACATTTCTTCTTGTGGATATCTCACACCAATATGTCCTCAACTCTTAAAAACTTGCTGCTTCAATGTTCCACATCTCTGTGAATGGTAGTTTCATCCACTCGATGGTCCAAATCAGAAATCAGGACTACATTTTTGACAATACTGGCTTCCTCACTCCTGGTCCAGCCAATCAATCCCAAATCTACCCCCTCCTCTCCATCCCCAATGCCACTGAACTCTCAGTATACACCGTAAGCTCAGCTCACCAGCATCTCTCACCTGCATTTCTGCATGTTTCCTCACCAAACTCCAGTCACAGGATCACCCCGTACCACAGTCAGAGGGGTCTTTGTAAAATGCATATCTGGTCATGTCACTCTCACTAATCAACAACAACTAAACCCTCAATACTTCCCACCAGTCTCAGGATAACTCTAAATTTCTTGGTATAGACTACACCCTCTGGCTCTCTTTACCTTCCAGTCTCATTGTACACCACTGTCGCCCTTATACACTGCATTCCCGCTATACTGAACTACCTGCATCCCTCCAGCTCTCCCGATCTCTTTCCCTTTCCCTCTCCACAAGCTGTACATGCCACGACATCCACCTTCACATGACTTCTGTTCATTAGTTGGTTTGGACACATCGCTGCATCCAGGAATCCTTGCTGACCACTTCGCGCTTCCCCTAGCCCCGGTTCAGATAAGCCTCCTGTGGGCTTCATCAAAATCTGGTTTTCGCCTATCTCAGCACTTATCACCCATAGTAACACTGCCAGTTTACTTGACTGCAAGACTGTCAGCTCCCCACTGGTAGAAAGAGGGACTGTCTTGTTACCTCTGCATCCCCGATGCCTGCCGTGGTGTCTAACAGGTGGCAGACATTCAATAAATATTAAATACTTCTTAATCAATGATCATGACTACCCAAGATGCTTAACTTTTTTTTCTATTGATCTGGAGTTTTCAAACTCAAAAAATGAAGCTAAACCCCTCGTTTTCTAACTCTGGCATTAGAATGCTATAAAATGGTGATTAGCATCATATGTTTAATCATTTATAGAAAGGAAAGACAACACCCAAATTCTACTAACATAGACTACTACTTTTGCTAGAATTCCTGAGTGGATCATTACAAAGAACATCATCTCCTAACACAATTATATTTTATTAAAATTATTTATCAATTTCTAGACTTTTAACTACAATTCTCATCAGTAACTTAGATGTGTTCTATTTTTTTTTAACCTAAATGTTAGGGTGTTTCCCAAATTCTGTCATTCTGTACATTCTGTTCCATGCAGGCTGAAAGCCGATTAGTGTTTACTGCTTGCTTTCCACCTAACAACCAGTCCAACTTTTTAAAGTGTGAACCCAGACCCCTATAATTTACTGTTCTATATAAGAGCATTGTAAGATAGGAAACAAATTACAACCTGCAGTTTTCGTTCTATGTTGATCTTTTTCTATTCCGGTTTGATGTGTTATTTTATGCACTTATCTGCTGAGAAACACAAGGTGTGAAATTACACTTCAGGTGTGAAAACACTTCTCTGTCTCAGAAACAGGGCTCTCCACTCTTCAAACTGCTCTACAGCAAAAGCTGTCAGAAACCCAACAATGGAGGAGTGAATTTGCGTGCCCACAGCTGCACAGCTACATGATTTCTGGAGGAAAAGTTCAGTCCAGTCCCCAAACTGCTCTGGCAATTCTGTCGCCAGTGATAGCAGCGGAAACTGAGTTAATCCCACAAACAAAGACCTGCTCATTTCACAAAGAGAGCAATTTCAAGCTTTATCCTGTCACAAGGTCGTTTTCTAATTACAAGAAAGGCCACTTATTACCAAACTTCCATCACTGAAGCTGAATTGTAAGTGACAAAAAGGGAAAATAATAGTTTTATAAACAATCCAGTCTGGGGACACCTGACCAAAAGATGCAAATATTACTGATTGTTCCAGCTCTAAAGGGGAGCTTTGTCAGCAGTGAAAATGTGCTTGCTTTTAAATGTCCAGAACAGAGGTTCTGGAAATTCTACCCGTGCAGAATAGTGGGGCGCATGGCTGGGGTCTTGTGAGGTTCATTGACTTATTCTGATGAGCACCGGTGAGAATGGATAAAGAAAGGGTCCAGCTAAGGAAGTACACAACTTAACTGAGCTCTGTTCTCATTCTTTGGAGTTGATAATACTCGCTACAAAACAACAGCAAACAATATTTTATCTTCTGATGATGACTCAGAAAGCCCCTCAGTGTCTCCGGTAACTCAAAACCTTCATCAAAAGGCTGAATGGGTCATAATCCCTGGATAGTTCTGGATGCTGCTCTTCTGACTCAGCCCTGTCAACTGCTTCACCAGTCACTTGTCTCTTTAAGGAAAATGCCACATCTACCAAAAAAAGGTAACAGTACATAATCCTCAATTTATCACGGCACAAAGTATGTCACTTGAAAATCAGAAGTCATTTTTGCAAAGAAACAATATGATACCCGGTGGTCAGTTATATAACCCATATAAAACACCTGCCCATTTGCAGCATGATGCTCTACCAACCGTGCTACAGGCTCGGCTCAGGACAGAACACGCGGACCAGAATTCTCTGGGCCAGAGGAGGGAATTTGCTCATTTAACCTACCCTTCCCTTTTAACTCATTAATAATTACAAAACATTTTAAACATACCTAAGGGAGTAGAGAATAATATTGCACATACCCAAAGAGACACCACACAGACTTGTGACATTTAGTATTTTTCAGATTTACTACTGATTTTTTCACTTTTGGTTTGATTTTTAAGAAGTAAACCATTATAATTGAAGATCCTTGAGTGCCTTCCTTGATCCTGTTCAACTTCTCCTCTTACTAAAGGTAACTACCATCCTGGATTTTGAGTTTATCATTTTTATGTATGTTTTTGGACTTTCACTATATAAGAAGATATAACTAAAGGCATCCAAAAGATATCCAAGATATATTTCAGTATTTTAGCATTTAAATGTTAAAAATTTAACATTTTAGTGTATGTCTTCCCAAAACTTACCTTTTTCATTCAATATTAAATTTTTTATATCTTCTATATGATATATATACCTGTGATTCACTTATTTTAACTGGTGTATAGTGTTCCAGTGTATTAATAAACCACAATTCACTTATCCATCCTCTTAATTAGTCGACATTTAATTGTTTATTGAAAAGATTTCAGTGAACATTTTGCAATATTTTCCATTATACTAACCTTTGCGAATTTCTTTAGTACATCCTTAGGAGTTGGTAACTGGCTCTTTATAAGTTCCAGATACAAAATCTTTATTATGCTTATTGCTAATATCTTCCCCCTGCATGTGGCTTATCCTTTTGCTTTATTTACAGTGACTTTTGAAGTATAAATGTTTTAAATTTTTGTGGAGTCAGATTTATCAATGTTTTCCTTTCTAGTTGATGCTTTTAAAAAAGAATTGTTTAAGAAACCCTACCCAAACTCAGTAGTCTCCCATATGTTCTTTTACAAGTCTTAAGAATTTGTCAATCTGATCTTTCTTTACTTGAGATATAATTGACATATAACATTTATTAGTTTTAAGTGTATAATATAATGATTTGATATAGGTAGATATTGCAAAATGACTACCACAATAAGTTTAGTTAACATCTGTCACCACACAGTTACAAATTTTTTTTCTTGTGATAAGAACTTTTAAGATCTACTCTCTTAGCAACTTTCACACATACAGTACAGTACTGTTAATCACGGTCACTGTACTGTACATTACATTCTCAGGTCCAGTTTATATTCCAACTGGAAATTTGTACCTTCTAACCACCTTGCCCTATTTCACCCAGTCCCCACCCCCTGCCTCTGGCAAACACCAATCTGTTCTCTGTATCTACGAGCTTGGTTTATTTTAGATTCAACATATGAATGAAATCATACACAATTTGTCTTTCTCTGACTACATTTGATCTTTAATACACCTGAAATTGATCTTTGTGTGTGATGTGAGGTAGGGGTCTAATTATTTTTCCTGCATATGGGAAGCATTATTCCTTAAGTAGTCCATTATCTCCCAGCTGATTTGTAATAGAACATCTGTCAGATATCAAGTTTCCAGGCTTGGGTACCCTTTCCTAAGTCTGATAATATTTATCATCATCATTTTATAATATGTCTTGATATCCACTAGGGAGAATCTCCCTATCACCTTTTAAAAAAAACTTAGTATTCTATGCTCTTGCTTGGTTTAACTGGCTCTCACAGATGAATTTCAAAACCAGCTTGTCAAGTTCTATTAAAAAAAAAAATCAGGGGCTGGCCCCGTGGCTGAGTGGTTAAGTTCACGTGCTCTGCTGCCGGCGGCCCAGTGTTTCATTGGTTCGAATCCTGGACGCAGACATGGCACTGCTTATCAAACCACACTGAGGCAGCGTCCCACATGCCACAACTAGAAGGACCCACAACAAAGAATATACAA